CCTCCAACTCCTGGGCTCAAGCGAGTCTCCCGCCTCAGCCTCCCAAGTAGCTGGGACCACAGGCACCCGCCACAACACCTGGCCATTTTTTGGTTGCAGCCTTCATTGTTGTTTGGCGGGCCCGGGCTGGATTCGAACCCACCTCCTTAGGTGTATGTGGCTGGCGCCTTAGCCACTTGAGCCACAGGTGCAGAGCCAGGTTTTCTATTTTTAGTAGAGACAGGGTCTTGCTCTGGCTCAGGCTGGTTTCGAACTCCTGAGCTCAAGCAATCTACCTACCTCAGCCTCCCAAAGTGCTAGGATTACAACCCCCACGTTGGCTTATTATTATTATTTTTTTTTTGAGACAGAATCTTGTTCTCTTGCCCCAGCTGGAGTGCATTGGTGTCATCATAGTTTCCTGCAATTGAACCTCTCTGACCTCAAGCAATCTTCCTGCCTCAGCCTCCCAAAGTGCTAGGTATGAGGCACCATGCCTGGTTTGGGGTTGGCTTTTTTTTTTTTTTAGAGGCAGAGTCTCACTTTTTCACCCTCTGTAGAGATAGGGGCTTGCCCTGGCTCAGGCTGGTCTCAAACCTGTGAGCTCAGGAAATCCACCTGCCTCGGCCTCCCAGAGTACCAGGATTATAGGCATGAGCCACCGCTCGGAAGTTTAATTGTAATGTGTCTTGGCATAAATTTCCTTAGGTTTATTCTGTTTGGTGCTCACTTATCTTCTTGAATCTAGGTTTACATTTTTCCAAATTTGGGAAGTTGTTAGCAATTATTTCTCCCCTGTTCTCCCCTTGTCTCATTCTGTTGCCTAGGCTGCAGTTGCAGTAGTGCAGTCACAGCTCACTATAGACTAGAACCCTTGGGCTCAAGTGATCCTCCCACTTCAGCCTCTCAAAGTGCTGGAATTTATAGGCATGAGCCATTGTACCCAGCGGTGGGAAAGTTTGTTTTTTTTTGCAGTTTTTTTTTTTTTTTGGCTGGGGCTGGGTTTAAACCTACCACCTCCAGCATATGGGGCCAGTGCCCTACTCTTTTGAGACACAGGTGCTGCCCCCATAGGGAAAGTTTTTTTTTTTTTGAGACAGAGCTTCAAGCTGTCCCCCTGGGTAGAGTGTTGTGGCATCACAGCTCACAGCAACCT